CAAAAAAAAACCCCCCTTCCCCCCCCCCCAAGATTTGAAAGTATCTTGTCCCCTTATTGGTCCTTTAGGTCAGATGCCAGCCAGGTTACCTGAGCTTCTTAACTCTTTACAGGGAAAAGGATTTTGGAGTCTCTGGCCAGGAGGGATTTTATAGTACTGTACACAGGACAGCTGTTACCCTTCCCTTTATAGTTATGACAACCACATGACATTTGGATTAAAAAATATATATAAAACTAACATGGCATACATTAAATGGACTAAAAGCTGGCTAACTGATAGGTCTCAAAATGTAATTGTAAACAAGGAATCATCATTGATGGGGTATATGTCTTGTGGGGTCTGGTAGGGACTGGTGAATTTTAAAGAGAAATATATTTATATATATCTATATTTATATCTATATATATCTTCTCTAATGCAGTCTATATTTATATAGATATATAGATATAGATAATAGCTCATCATACTGCAACATAAAGTCATTTCACTCACTAATAATACTGGTAACATTAATGGCACAGAAAAAGAAAACAGCTCTCCTCTCTGTACCCTTTACTGGTTATTCTCTACACTTCATCTGCTACTAAGAAGGATGGCTACCTATGTTATGAGATCTCTTCAGAAATGCCAGTCGAAGGGTTCATCAGTCAAAATGGCCAAATAGCACTTATGAGATTTCAATGGGCTTCACTTTACAGGTTTTCACTTTCCATTGGTTTCACAACATATCAATAGAGCTTATCAGCATTCTTATTACAAACAAATCACGTGGTATACTATATCAATAATCCCTGATAAAGAGAATGAGAAGTGACTGGGCTACAGCTGCAGCCAGGGAAACTGAAGGAAATTTCCAAACTTCTCTAATGCAGTCAGTGCTCACTTGGAGGCCAAGTAGGATCAATGAGGTAGAACATCTGTATCCTTGATAACGGTTAGTTTTTCACCAAGTGAAGCAGAGCTGTGAGTATTAAGGGCTAGACGCTGAGGGTATGTCTACACTACAAGAGCTACAGCAGTATAGCTGACCTCTAAGGCTGAAATTTGATCCCCTAATCCAAATGTGACCTCAGAGGGAATGTCTACACAGCAACTAGACACCGGTGGCTGGCCTCAGGCTATGGGGCTGTTTCACTGCTGGTTAGATGTCTGATACTGGGGCTACAGCCTGGGCTCTAGGACTCTGTGAGGTGGGACGGTCCCAAAGCTTGGGCTGCAGCCGGACCCAGAAGTCTACACAGCAATGAAACCACCACAACCCGAACCGCACGAGCCTGAGTCAGCTGGCATGGGACAGCCTGAGTTTATCCTTTTTTACGATGTAGACATGCTCATAGAGCATCTGCAATATTATTTTATTATTAAAAATTCTTAGCACTGGGGCAACTCTGCTCCCACCATATGAGCAGGTAAAACACAGCACCACTTGAGCAGAGCTAAGGGCCTTTTGTTTTAAGTCTTTATGATAAGGGGTCAGCTGCCTGAATCATGAACTTTATCCCCAAATAAGTCAAAGCAGAGACTTGTTCTACAGGGTGGCCTCCGATCTTCCGCTCAATTTGCGGATGCTTCTTCCCAGAAATCGTGACTTGGTCTTATTATAAATGAGAACCAGGTCTTGGAAGTTAAAATAAGAGGAAAATAGAGATAACAGCCAGAAGATGCCTCATGGAGTTTGCGATAAAACAACCATGTCATCAGCATATAGTAACAGCGAGATAAGTCTACCTTTAATGTGTGGTGGAGAAAATTAATTTTCCTTTATAACATCCACTGTATCATTAATATATACATTAATAACAAGAGGTGCTAGAAGGCATCCCTGGTGTTCTCCCCAAGCCACTGGGAAAACATTTTCCATTGCCTTTACCCGACCCACAGCACTCTGGTGCAGAGCCTCCAAAATGTTCAGAAGTCTTAGATCCATACCCATCCTTCTTAATTTTGCCCAAAGATTGTCTAGATCAATAGAATCAAATACCATCTTTAAAACACGAATAGTAGCATACAGTTCCTACCCTTAACCACAGTATATTTATAAATCATAAAGGAGAAAATAAAGCAATTATCAACTGTGGCTCTAACTGTTTTTATCTAACTTCTCTGTGTGAATGGCAAGAATATAGCAGGGAAATAAAAGGCGTGAGGTGGCCATCAGGGTGACGTGTCCGCTCCTTGTATCCCCCTCGGCAGAGAAACATCCAGTGCCCCTTCACCTTTCTCTGTGGAGAACATAGCAGGTGAGAAGACCAGCACCTTCCAACAACAGAGAGACAGTTGAAATAGAGGGCACTGACTGGGAGATGAGAGGGACAGCTCACTGCCCTGTCACAGCTCCCTATTGCCCTATGGATGTCCTCTTCTCCATGGATTCTATTCTTCATTCACTCCCCTCAACTTTTCTATTTGGTGCTTCCAAACGGGAGGAAATGAGGGGAAAGAGGAAGAAGGGGAATAGGAGGGGGTTTATGAAGGGGTCTGTCAAGCTTTGTGCGGGGGGTTGTATTTTGTAGGCTCTGAACCCTGGTTAGAATGAATCCCCCAGGGAACTTGGAGGTGTCATACAGCTCTATAGAACCCTTAGAAATGTTCTTACATTTCCCTGGCTGCAGTTTAAGCCCAAACACTTCTTGTTCTATCTGTCCTGAAAGAATGAGACAAATCCTCATAGGTGCTTGGCACCTGCAAATGCCACTGGTTTCCCCATGTCTGATGCATCAACATTTTATGTCTCTACTTTAGATAGTTATTATTAAGGCTGATGCTTTTTATGAGAGAAAAAAGAAAGGGAAACCTCATGTATTTCTACCGACACTAAATGTAAAATTCCTCAATTTAGGAACACAGCAAAAAATCCATGGATTCCTGGCATACAGTATTTATAATGTTATTCACTTTATTTCTCATAAATCTCTCTTAAAAAGGATTTTTAACCTCTTTGGAATGGGTTTTAAAGCATGAAATTAGTAAATTTCTTTAAATACAAGTAAAATATTGATTAAATATTGTACAAAACAATATGCACTTGTGCTACTATAAATGCTTCCAAGGTATATTTGTGTTCTGAAACTCTTTTCTGCGAAAGGACCCTCATTTCAATTTAATAGGAGGCTTTCCATTTTTTCTGAGAGCTTTCGATCAGGCAGTAGATATTTGCTAGTTGTAAATACTCATATTGTAACTTCCACAAGGCAGGAACTTGACTACTGTGTTTCCCTGAAATTCTCCAGAATGTTTATGACGCTGTATAAATTATAACAGAGAGTCCTGTGGCACCTTTAAGACTAACAGATGTATTGGAGCATAAGCTTTCGTGGGTGAATGCCCACTTCGTCGGATGCTCCAATATATCTGTTAGTCTTAAAGGTGCCACAGGACTCTCTGTTGCTTTTTACAGATCCAGACTAACACGGCTACCCATCTGATACTTGTATAAATTATAATTATGATGATAATTATAAACAGATTGCAGCACAAATTTAGTAAATGTCACATGCTTCAAAAAAAGATTTCAACAGATCAGTATTTCACAATCCCTGGTAGCCCATAAATAGAGACTCTCCATCTCCTCTCTATCTTGCAGTGTCTTCTCTCCAGCAACACTGAGCTCCCAGTCAAACTTCAGCCATGAAGATTCTCTATCTGCTCTTTGCTGTCTTTATCCTGGTGCTGCAAAGTTCTCCAGGTAAGATCTTAATGAAATGAAGGGAGAATATAGAAGGACAATGGTGAGTTTGTATTAAGATTTCTAAAAATTGTGTATCATAATTTTTTCAGCTTTTTTTTCAAAAGAGTTGTATGGTTTTCAGCAGATACTTCACATTTCACTGGAGAATAGTCCTGCGATAAGAAAAGTGTCTTTAATATTCCGATTAAGATCCAGTCAGATTGGCTGAACTATGACCTATAATACTATCACCAACGTTCTACCTAGTGGAGTCCTACGACACTAGTTAAACTTTTTATAAAAGACCTGAAAAAAATATATACAATCATCACCTATAAAGTTATCGCGTGACAAAAATTAAGGGACAGGGCACTCATAGAGAGGTATTTGGATCACTTGGTAAACTGGGAACAAGTTAACAATCATACAGCTAAATGTAAATGTATGGATCTAGGAACAAAGAAGGTTGGCCACAGTTATAGGATGAGGGACTCCATCCTGGGAAGCAGTGACACTGAAAAAAGATTTGGGGGTTGTGGATTGGTAATAAGCTTAAAGTTTCTAAAAGGGTTAATACAAAACTTGGATGCAGAAAGAGGGAAATCTTGAGTAGGATTAGAGAGATCATTTTACCTCTCTATTTCACACCTCCAGATGTGACCACATCTTGAGTACTGTTTCCAGTTCTGGTGTCCACACTTCAGGAAGAATGTTGATCAGTTGCAGAGGGTTCAGGGAAAAGCCACAGGAATGATGAAAGGATTAGAAAACATGCCTTATAGTGATAGACTCAGAAAATTCAATCTCTTTATCTTAACAAAGAGAATGTTAAGGGCTGACTTGATCACAATTTCTAAGTACATGTATGATGAAACTTATTTAATAATGCGCTCTTCAATCAAGAAAATAAAGGTATTTTGTGATCTAGTGCTTGGAAGTTGAAGCTAAACAAATTTAGTCTGGAAACGAGATGTAAATTGTTAACAGTGAAAGTAATTAACAATTGTAACAATTTACCAATGTATTCTCCATCCTGGAAAGTTTTTAAATCAAGAAATATTGGGGGAGGGTTTTCCTAGGAGATAGCCTCTAAGAAATATTTTGGGGTAGTCCCTTCAGAATAGATGATCACAAAGGTCCTTCAGTACCAGGAAAACTGGTTGAAACTATAGTAAAAAACAGAATTATCAGACACATAGATGAATACGATGAGCTGGGGAAGAGCCAACATGATTTTTGGAAAGGGAAATCATGACTCACCAATCTACTAGAATTCTTTGAGGGGGTAAACAAACGTGGACAAGGGTGATCCAGTGGATATAGTGTAATTACACTTTCAGAAAGCCTTTGACAAGGTCCCTCAGCAAAAGCTCTGAAGCAAAATAAGCATTCCTGGGATAAGAGGGATTGTGCTCTCATGGATCGGTAACTGGCTAAAAGATAGGAAACAAAGGTTAGGAATAAATGGTCAGTTTTCAGAATGGAGAAAGGTAAATAGTGGTGTCCCCCATGGGTCAGTACTGGGACCAGTACTGTGCAAAATATTCATAAGTGATCAGGAAAAAGGGGTAAACAGTAGATGATACAAAATTACTCAAAGATAGTGAAGTCCAAAGCAGAGTGTGAAGAGTTACAAAGGAATCTCATAAATCTGGGTGACTGGGCAACAAAATGGCAGACGAAAGTCAATGTTGATAAATGCAAAGTAATGCACTTTGGAAAACATAATACCAACTATATGTCTAAAAAGATTGGGTCTAAATTAGCTATTACCACTCAAAAAAAGGATCTTGGAATCATTGTGGAGAGTTCCCTGAAAACATCTGTTCAACGCACAGCGGCCCTAACAGAAACTACTAAAAGAATGTTAGGAACCATTAGGAAAGGGATAGGTAATAAGACCGAAAATATCATGATGACTCTTTATAAATCCATGGTAATTAAATGTTGTGTGCAGATGCTGAATGTTGTGTGCGGATGTGGTCGCCCCATCTCAAAAAAGATATATTAGTATTGGAAAAGTTACAGACAATGGCAACTAAAATGGTATGGGGTATGGAACAGCTTCCATATGAGGGGAGATTAAAAAGACTGGACATTTTCAGCTTGTGTCCTCTTCCTCTACCCTAACCCAATGAAAATACCCTTTGTTCTAGGGGATTCAAGTGTTTGGATTGAAGAGTTTGGGAACCTTCACTTGAGATAACAGGCTCTGTGCATATCCTTTTCCTCAGATGAAATGACAGACTTCCTATGAGTTTGCATTGTGCAGGAGGGAACTGATCAGTACAAGATGCACATTTCTGGGGGACGAGGCTGGCACTGGGAATTGGCTGGTGTCGCTCTGCAGGATAATTCAGGAATGTCTTGCTGGAAGTTTTCCTCTAATTCAGCTGGGAGTGACTTTCCATGCTAGGGGCTGTGCATGAGCAGGACCAGAAGTGGTTGCTTTCACAGCAGAGCAGTGTAGGAGACACTGCAGGTTGGAGACCTGAGGGAATACTGCTGTTCAGTGGTCCAGATTGTACCCTGGGGAATGTCACAGTGGATACTTTAAGGAAAGCAGAGCTAAAATCTAGTTTAAAATAGTCTAATATTAATATCCTAAAGGATATTTGGGCCACATTCTCATAAGGACCAACCTGTCTGGAATGGCTAAGACTGGCAATTGGTCATTGAGTCAGTATTCCCAAGTGCTGAGTCTTCACAAGAATGTCTGTGCCAAGTCTCACTGACAATCAGGCATTCTGACTGGAGGGACTTGTTTAAACCCTTCTCTTTCTAAAAGTACCAGCCACCCAACCCAGTGCTGAGCTGGTTCAACCCTGCTCAGCCAATCAGCATTTAGATACTGCCTAGTACATCAGTGTTTGGAATCAGAAAGAGTCAAAACCATGGCAGCAAAACCTCTGCCCCACTCTTAGAAGTTGGTGATGCAGACAGCTGCCTGCTTTCCATCCTGTACAGGTGTGGGGCTGGGAAGGACTCCCATGCTCAGTGCTACAGTTCGGAAGCCTGCAGCCAGGAAGCCGGCAGATCTCCTGAATTAACTCCCTCTGCTCATTTCTTAGGAGCAGCCTTTGACGGGGCACAGGCACAGGAAGATAATTGGGTTGACTTGGCCTTGTCTCAGTGAATTGGAAATTCACCTAATGGGAAATGCCCGTCATGCTGCAATCACAGCCCTTGTTTACACTTATATGTGAATGAAAATGAAGACACTTTTTCTTTGTGCAGGATTCACCCAGGGCATCAATACCCCCTTTGCTTGTCGTCGTGCTGGGGGCTTCTGCCGCCGCGGTAGATGTCCCCCCAATTTCAGACGAATCGGAAGTTGTGGTTTTGGGCAGAGTTGCTGTAAGAGAGGATGGGTAAGTTCAGGATGCCACAAGGGAGACATTACTGTGTAAACAGAATATTTGTGTCTCTAATTTCTATAGCTGCTGTTTAATGACCTTGGAGGCTCAGAGCACATGGCACAACCCTGACATGGGACAAAGGTAACTTCTGTGCTGACTGATTCTGGACTATCTGGGGTTTCCATGTTAGAGTGAGAGTAATTGTATAGCTGCTTTACTCAGGCTGCCTATGGTCTGTCCACAACCCAGAGCAGCCCAGAGTCTCCACAGTGCTCAGTGCAACGTGTGAGCCATGTATTGCTCATGCATTGCAGTTACTCTCTACCACCCATTTGAAGCCCTTCTGGCTTGCTAACATGGCATCATACAGACAATGTTTCTGGCCAGTCTGGCATCCGTTTACATCATTGTTTCATTTAGGAATATGGAAAACAACGGGGAAGGACTAAAGTATATTTCCCAGGCGAGTGTATGTGGGATGCGTCTCCTTTGTATCATTGTGCAGCACTTATGAGCTCAAAATGGCTGCTCTTTACAACAGTAATGCTTAATTTACCAAAAAGAAACATGTACAAGTATTGAGCTATGTTAAGGGTGTGTGTGTCGTATCCCAGTATAAAATGATCCAATCTGTCACAGAAAAATTAGAGGTTTCAGAGTAGCAGCCGTGTTAGTCTGTATCCGCAAAAAGAACAGGAGTACTTGTGGCACCTTAGAGACTAACAAATTTATTAGAGCATAAGCTTTCGTGGACTACAGCCCACAGAGTGGAATAAATATTGAGGAGATATATATACACACATACAGAGAGCATAAACAGGTGGGAGTTGTCTTACCAATTCTGAGAGACCAATTAAGTAAGAGAAAAAAAACTTTTGAAGTGATAATCAAGCTAGCCCAGTACAGACAGTTTGATAAGAAGTGTGAGAATACTTACAAGGGGAGATAGATTCAATGTTTGTAATGGCACAGCCATTCCCAGTCCTTATACAATCCTTTGTTGATTGTGTCTAGTTTACATATCAATTCCAGCTCCGCAGTCTCTCGTTGGAGTCTGTTTTTGAAGTTTTTCTGTTGTAATATAGCCACCCGCAGGTCTGTCACTGAATGACCAGACAGGTTAAAGTGTTCTCCCACTGGTTTTTGAGTATTATGATTCCTGATGTCAGATTTGTGTCCATTAATTCTTTTGCATAGAGACTGTCCGGTTTGGCCAATGTACATGGCAGACGGGCATTGCTGGCCCTTCTTATCAAACTGTCTGTACTGGGCTATCTTGATTATCACTTCAAAAGTCAGCAGGTGACAAAAATTAAGAGACAGGGCCCTCATAGAGAGGGATTTGGATCACTTGGTAAACTGTAGCCCACGAAAGCTTATGCTGAAATAAATGTGTTAGTCTCTAAGGTGCCACAAGTACTCCTGTTCTTTTTGCGGATACAGACTAACACGACTGCTACTCTGAAACCTGAATATGTACAGAGATTATCAGCAGATAGGGAAGTACCATCTGAATAGGGTCAAGCTATTAGGCTTATGTGAGCTGGAAGACAGAATAGTCCAGGCATTCTTTAAGAATAACTTATTTAACCTCTAAATAAATATTTATTGTTTTAGTTTTAGCTATGAATAAAAGTATGTTTGAAAGGAAAACTAAACATGGACGTGAGTCACATTATTCTACATCTTACATATTTTTGGTTTTATTTTTCTATATATCATAGAGATAGTCAATATTTTTAAAATTCACAATTTTGATTAATTCCCTCAATGGAATTTCAAATTTCAACTTTTTTTAAAAGTTTGATGGACATTTCTATGATATTGTACATCATATTTCTAGCTGTTTTTATACTTACCGGTAATTTGCCGATGTTCTTTTTTTAATCACCCAGCGACTTTATTCATTTATTTTTTTTTGGTTGTCACTTAAACTGTGTAGAATGTTAATAGGAAGGAGTTTTGTAAGAAAATGAGAATGTGACTCCTTTACTGGAGAGTTAGGGGCAGAGGGAGGGGAGAGCCATGTTCAGAAGTCCGGCATATTTACTTCTGAAGCCAGCCAGTACACATGTTTAAATATAATAGATAGACTGAATCTGTTCTACAACCTTAAATAAGAGGAAGTTGGCTTTTAGCTCATACTGTAGAAGCTCATACATTAAACTCCCGAGGCTCCAGGTTCAATCCCCACTGATGTCAAGCAAGGTCTGTTGGAGTTACATCTCCACACACTATTAAATGATGGGGAAGTTCCTGCTCTACCTTGAATTTGAAATGTAACGTTACATTGTCCTTGTTTTAATGGCTATAAACATAGAATGTGAGAGTTTCTTCCCTTTTGCAGTAAAGAGAGTGAGTGATGGCAGCAGAGATTGTCAATGCAGGATCTCTCGGAATCTGGCAGATGACGTTTTGCTTCTAAAATCCTTGGATGCTTTTCATCTGGGCTGCAAAGAATCTCGCAAGCTGGAAAAAATCCACAAGGGAGCCCTTCTGTCCCCCCCGGCAATAGCTTGTTCTTCTCCTTTTAATAAAAGTAGCTGCTGGTTGTGGTGTATTGCAAACATGCCTGTGAGTATTTTGATTCGACACAGGGGCTGTTTTGCTATTTCTTTTCCATAAAAATCCCTTCCTTCTGTTATCTTAACTACGTATAAATAAAAGAAATGGTCACTGCCACATGTAAAATCCACTCAGGGGTGTTCCTAGACCAGGGGACATACATATTTATACATTTCAGTGAGCTCACATGGATAAATCGTGACCTTTTCCTTGGTCCTTTGACAAAGCCGTTTGATTTGTGTTGTTGTCAGAGGAGTGGGGTTCAGTCCCAGTTTGGCTGCACAGTGTGTAACGCCCACATCAGTGCTCCACGGCCTGTCGACCCTCTCTCTGCTCCCCTCGCCTCCCAAACCTCCCCATCATGAGGTCCTTTCTCTTGTGCCTGAGTGTCCAGACCTTGCCCTGTGCAGCAGGCTCCCATGCAAGAGCCCAAAGGGCATTGGAAATCCCAAAGACCCAGGCTTATAGAAACCTGAGCAAATTTGCAAGTGAGGGTGTAACTGAGGCAGCCACATGGGGTCCTGCCATGGAGAGGGAGAAACAATCGAGCTCACAGCTGCTTTGCATATCTTTGCAGCAGCAAAACATTGTTACCCCGGGGACACCATTTAGGAAAGGCCTTCCCCCAACCCCGGCTAGTTTTGTACCAGATTTGTGTGAAGTTTGCAGCAGAAGGGAAGATGCTGCCCTTCCTCTCCCCACCCTCTCTGCCCTTCTCCTCTGTTGTTTGTAGATATGCTGCCCCGACCCCCACTATGGGGCCACCGCTGGCATAGCTCCTCACCTGCTGATATGCTGCATAGAATGGGGTGGGGGCTGGGATCGGGGTGTTCCCTTCCACCTGCCCATCGCGGAAGTGGGTGGGCAGCGCACGCACCTCACCCCGGCCACTGATCCGCAGAGCTCCCCCAGTGTGCCAACTAGGGACTGAGGCTATGGCTGAGCCCTCAGTAGCAGCACCAACTTGGACACAGCCCCTCCCTGCATCCTGAGTTACACCTCTGTCGACCCCTATATACCTCCTGCCTGCACTTTGAGCTACACCTCTCCAGGAACACAGCCCCTAGCTACCTCCTACCTGGCCCCTGAAGTACACCCCCACCTGGAACCTGAGCTACCTCCATAACTGCGCACAGCCGCTAGTTATCTGCCTGCATCCTCAGGAGCTTTCAAACTTTTTGAGCTGACCTCCCCGCCACTATATTTTTTGGTTGTGGGCCCACAACCTTATATACAAAATCTAGAATTTTCAGGTGCCTAAGTAGCCCCAGGAATGATGATTAATATTCCGCACACCACAGTCTGAAATGGTGCCCCTGAAGTTACTTCAATCTTTTCTCCACAAACCAGCTCCTTCTCTCAGTGCCCTTTCCTCCTGACCTGAGCCCACGTCTTCCTCACAGCCCTTATGGTGAACGTTTCAGGGACCAGACCTAGAGGGACTTGTCTTTACTGGGAAAGGGCATTGTGTGAGAAAAGGGGTTAATGTATGACCAGGGAAGAGCACAGGACTAGGACATAGGAAACCTAGATTCTGTGCCTATCTCTAGCCTGTTGGGTGACCCATAGGCCTGCCCCAAGAGGAGTTTGACCAATTAGGGCAAGTCCTGGGGCAGAGATTGACATGTAACCTGGAGCAAGAGGTGGCATATGATCCCCTCTAAAAACTCCTCCCACTCATTTCTAAATAAATATTATTTCTGTTTTTGAAGCATTTCTGCTTGTGGGCCTATTATTGATCAGAGGCCTGTATCCATGTCCTTTCAAGGAACAGCAAGGCTAACTTGTTCTGGGGAGCCCTCTGTATATCAGAGACAAGCACCATGATAATATCTTGGAAATTCCTATAGGAATACCTCCCTCGGCCCGCGCCGCTTCCAGCAGCTCCCATTGGCCTGGAGCAGCGAACCGCAGCCAGTGGGAGCCGTGATTAGCTGAACCTGTGGATGTGGCAGGTAAACAAACCGGCCCGGCCCACCTGGGGCTTTCCCTACACAAGCAGCATCCCAAGTTTGAGAAACACTGCACTAAGTCATTAGAATACAGTTTTAAAAACTTGTCAAAGGTAAACCATTGTTACGGTGATGGAAGGAAAACACACAGTGATAGCTACAGGTAGGAGTATGGGGCTTTTGTAATTGTCAAGCATGGTACATAATGTCAGCAGCATTTTTATTTAAAAAATTCATGCTGCTTCTAGGAAAGAACATCCTGTTCAGGCTGTGCCCGTATGAGACAAATAACTCTCTTTGGTAATTCTCCAGGTACAAGGTGAGCCAATGTTCACCCAGTTGGTTGTGTTGTCCACCTGATACAGACAGTGCCGGGGACACCCGTACTTTCTTTTAAAAATGGGTTACTGACATAATCCGCAGGTTATAACCTTTGATTGCATCACCCATTAGCAGAGGGCATCATTACTGTTTATCAGTTTTATTTTCACATCCATACTTGTCAAGGCTGATTCCCCGCTCTGGCACTTCGAGTGCAGAAGGTGGGGGCCCGCAAGGATTCTAAAAATTAATACTGGCCACTCTAGGCTTGTATTTAACTACAAGGTTGCAGCTTTTCTCTCACCTTGGCTTGGTAAATGCTGCCACCACCCAAATGCAAAAACCCCTTGAACCCAGGAAGGAACACTTGAGAATTCCTCCCTGTGGGGTACTATCAATCCCTTTCACCCCCCTCTCTGGGGAAGAGCTGAGAAAGAAAACAAAGGAAATTAGCTGTTGCTACTAGCTAATCAAACAACATGCAGAAACCTCTTCGGACACCAAAAATCCAATCCCGTTCTTAAAAATGGTAAATTTTATTAAAAACAAAAAAGGAAGAAAATGCATTTGGAATTTAGGCTTTTGCAAGATTTTAAAAGAGCAATTCCAAAAATTTAGCACCGAAAATAACTTTCTTGGGGGTAAATCTTAAAGATTACAAGCACACGAAAGCATCTGAGGTTAGCACAGAGGAGTCCACAAGCCTTAAAAAATAAAGAGAAATAAAACTAATCGCGTCTTTCCAAACATTCCTAAATTACTTACATATCTGCGGGAGTTCAAATCAGTAATTCTAGGTACAATCTGATGATTTCTCAGACCTGGCTTAAAGCGTAGTCATAGACCTGACTTTGCTATGCCTCACCCCCCATTCCGGAGGACAACCACACACACCAAGGGAAAGCTTCCTTCCCAATTTTAAAAAGTTCTAGTCTTCCCATTGTCTCTTTTAGTCAGGTGCCCTTTTCCTTACCTGTGGGACTTTTTTAACCTTTTACAGGTAAAGCAAGCAGAGAACAGCTACCAAGAGGGATTTTACAGCTAACTGGCTGGCTGGATGTCCATAAATGGGAGCTACCCCCATCCCTTCATTTTCACAATACTGTTCAACAGAAGTTTTTCTTGAAAAATAGGTTGCTATGTAGATGACCCAGCAGCTGTGTCTTCCTGTTCTGGGACATCAGGTTTGCCTGTCTTGCAAACACTTAATTCTCACCGTCCAGCTCCATTACTTCATCTTGTCCAGGAATGTCTTTGTATCACAGGCCTGCAGAAAACAATGTAGTAAGTGTGTTGACTCTGTAATTTAGCACTGATTCGATAAAGACCCTGTAAGGGTAACAGTCATTGCTTTGGATTACATGGTGGTCTCCCAAAGTAACGTTCGACTGACTGCAGATAGAGGCCACAGAAAAATTCACCAGGGGGCCCTCAGCCCCCCTGCTAAGATTTTTAGCAGAAGATGGAACC